GTGGTGAAACATGTAGGAAATCACCATACTTCCCACGACTCCAAGTATTTCAGTATACACAACCATTGGTGAAATAAATTATGATCTCTGCCTAGGTTTACCAAGGAAATATTACAAAAGATAGAGTTTCATGTAGAAAAAGTATACATTAAGCATATTATTGTGAATGTTTGCGACATATGTGAAGCAATTGCATAAAAATGCCTGACTTGCTTAGGGATAAGAAATTAATTTTGAATGAGTTAGTTCCGCAGATAATTGAGATGTCTTCTAACCAAGTAAGAAGTTGAAGGTTCACTGCTCCTGACGAAGGGGGACCTGTTTTGCTCTCAAAATCGATTGGGATTTTACAAAATCAACGCCAGATATAAGGTTGTCAATTTGCCTGTTTTATTTTCCACGTTGGCATTTCTCTTGCGTCTTTAAAGTAACAGATAACTTGGCCTTATGTGCATACAACTAAAACACTGTCCACTTGCAGTGAGAACTTAAAACAATAACAATAAATTAAAAAAGTAGAGATGTAGTGCTAGACTACACAATTTAATTTAATCTAACAGGCTGATTATGAAACTTACATTTGCAATATACTAATAGATGCCCAGAATGCATAGCCGCTACTAAGATTTACAGCTGGATAACAAAATAGCAGATGTGCACTTCCAGTAGCAAAATCACACTGTGTCTAATCTTTTCATTTCAAAAGTTTAAATACTCTTGTTTAGCTATTTCATTTTTAGTGAAACCTAAATAGGATCCTATAGTGTCTCTACAGCTAGGAGGCACTCGAAATACACAGCACATTAAAATCCTGTTGAGAGATTGCTCGTAAGGGGTAAAGGGGTGGGAGACCAGAGACAACCTCTCCCTGGGGTGCTGTTCCTGGGAATTCCATCCAGGGCTATAACTAACTAGGTTCAGCAATATCTCGGATCTCGGTCACCTATGGTACTAGGGGGCCATGTATCTAAAGGAAGAGATGCTTCTGTTGCTTACTTTTTATTGATTAACTGACTTGTAGTCATGTTGCATATGAGAAATCATCACTCAGTTAAAAATCACTTTTCTTGAATCTAAGATAAAATCACTTTGATTAAAGTGGTCTTGGTATTCAATGTTTTTTTTCTTTCTGTATTCTGACTGCTAACAAAAGATGTGCACTGTTTTTGCTGACGTGTTTTACAGTCTGATAACCGAGACTGCCAAGGTGAATGCATTTGTCTGTCTGGATTACTGTTCATTTTGTACACTTATGACCTGCGGAAGATCTGATTCTAGAGAACTGATACATTCAGCCTAGTAAATTGAACATGTTATTGAAAATAAAGCAATTATTCATGAGCTGTTGGGATATAGAAAAATGCGTCGAATCCAATGACAATTCAGTCTTAAATTGCTGAGACACTGGAATGAGAATTATATCCCTGCTTGATGTAACAGCACGAGAAAAGAGCATGTTTTGTACTGTGCTTTTAAGGAATAGAGCATGAGTGCTTTATGTCATATTTGAGATAAAGCAACCATACATAATATGAAAACGCATATTATTCCCTCTTTCCAAAGACTTCTAAAGCAATTTCATCGGCTAAGAAGATTGTAGCAGGGGCCTTGTAGTATCAGAAGAAAATAGTTCTTACTGATTTCATCACAGAGAGAGAGAGAGAGAGAGAGAGAAATGGTCAATTACCGTGATTCACTGAAGGCAGATAATTGAAAATGATTAGGTAATGCTACTGACAGGTATCATATTGTTGTGTTATTTTTTCCTTCCTTTGGTACGGGGTTCGTAGATTTGGAGTGAATAACGACGACACTTGATGAAGTATCAAAACACACTTTATTAATCAGTATTAATCAGGACAACTCCAGTAACATGTTTACACAGTCGTCGAAGAACTGAAATAAACGCATTATACATGCAACTTCTGTAAAGTTATGGTCTTGTTATTTCTTATTATGTAGTTATTTTCTTTTCTTTTCCCCCCTTTTTTTTTTGTGAAATTTCTGTGCACAAATTTAAGAAAATTTCTTTCTTTTTTTTTTTTTTATTTATGTCACATATCTTTTTGCTGAAATTATAAGTACTGAGGTAAAATTATAGATTGGTTTCTTCAGTCTAACTTTAGGTGGTACTTACGTATTTTTACAACCACCTTGATGCAGTTTAGCAATTTTTTTATGGAAGAAAAAGGAATTGCAGTTTTGTGCATTGCTGTGAATTTTTGAATTGCAGTTTACATTGGATATAGTTACCTAAAGAACATGGCATGACAAAGATTACCAGAGTTTAGGGTTTTCTGTTAAGGTGGTAGGGTTTTCTGTTAATATGTAAGTACTCAGATTTTAAAGCCCTCCAAGAAGCCATCTCTATCTTTAGACTTACTCTGCCATAATAAAGCAAAAAGAGCTGTCCCAATATAGTGAATATTTTAGTAATTCTATGTCAGGAAAGCTTACATGCTTACAATGGTGAGATGAAAAGTTTCCTGCCTCATCTACAGATGGCACTTTGAGTTACTTTGACAAAAGCATTTCCAAGTGTCATCCATGTTTAATACTTTTTGTATATTTCAAAGGATTTGTGTTTGGTTGTTTTTATTCTGTGCTGTTTTAAAATTTTCTTCTTTTGTTTTTAAATGAGTATGCAGAAAACCAAACTGCGAGCTGTGATAAAATATCTTTTATAAAAGGCTATCTCCAACAGATATTAAAAGTGATCTAGATGTTACACTGGGGGAATCTGTTCCTTTGTTTACAGCTGTTAAAACATGGGTTACAGATTTTAAACTTGGCTGTGCAAGCACTCTGGATTAGCAAATTTCACAAAAACATTATGAATGATCACCGATTGAAATTGGCAGAGGTTGCAGAGTCTGTTGGTATATCCAAAGAATGAGCACATCATATTTTGACTGATATTTTGGGTATGAGAAAGTTGTCAGCAAGATGAGTGCTGCGTTTGCTGACCTTGGATAAAAAATTCCAGCTTGCTGACCTTGAATCAAAAGCTCCAGCGCATGATGATATCAGAACAATGTTTGGCACTATACAACTCATTCCCAACTGATTTGTTTGTGGTGCTTCGTTACTGTCGATGAGACATGGATCCATCACTATACTTCAGAGATCGAACAGCAGTCAAAACACTAGACAGCAAAGAACAAACCAGCACCAAAAATAAATAAATAAATAAATAAATAAAAAGTGCACAATCTGCTGGAAAGGTTATGAAAACAATTTTTTTTGGGGAGGGGTGCTAAGGGAATTTTATAATTGTATTATCTAGAAAAAGGCAAGACCATCAATGCTAATCTTTTGGATAGATTCCATTTCAAAATCAAAGAAAAAAAAGATTAGGTCTGGTGAAGAAGAATGTCCTATTTCACCAGGACAGTGCTGTCATTGTGATGGCAACACTTCATGACTGAAGTTTGAATTTCTTCCTTATGCACCCTATTCTCCTGGTATGGCCCCCTTGGACTACAGCCTTTTCTCCAACCTGAAAAAATGTTTGGCTGGAAGAAATTGTGTTCTGATACCAAAGCCATCTCAGCAACGAATGCCTACTTTTAGGCCTTAGAAGAAAACTCTTACCATACAGAAAAGGAATCCAATCGTCGCATCATTGGAGCAAAGGTATATCTTTGGAAGGGAACTACTTTAAAAAATAAAGTGAGCATTAAACCGATTTTTTTTGTTTTGTTTTTTTGTTTTCCTTGTTGGGCCGGAAACTTTTCTATCTTCTGGGTGGAGAAAATATGTGGTGAGAACTAAAAGTACTTTTGTTCTTTAAAAAAATTGCATAACACGTTCTGCCTCTATTAATTAAAAAATGTAAGTAATATCTATGTTTTGTGACCGTTGGTATATAGTCAAGTAAATATGATGAAACAATTTAAATTGGTAAATATTTAAGCAAGTCTAGAAAATTTAGTTTATTGTCTAATACCTCAAAAATTTGTTTATTTTTTTCTTTAAGTCTTTAGAAGTTTTATTTAAGTCTTTAGAAGTTAAATTTTTATGTAAAATAGCGTATTTATTGCTTTTAATCTCTCAATTTGTTAACCACTAACAGATCTTATGGTTTATCAAGCGTAGAATCAACCATGCACAATAAGTAGAGTTGAATGGAAATTTTTTTTCTGAAAATTTAAATTGCCTGTATGCTGAAAACTTACCCTTTATTAAACTTGTTTTATAGCATAAAATTGATCACAAATTAGATCTGAATTGTGGCTGCCATAATCTTCCTAAAGATTTCATCATTACATCAGCTGCATCTAATTTGGCATGCTAGTATTCTACACCTCAGTTATGCAAGATATTGAACTTTTTAAATAATTAACAACCTTTACCCATGTATGATGTTTATTTTGATAGTTGGAAGGAAAAGATTTTGAAACTCAATTTGCAGCTGCTCCTTTTGGTAAATTTTGTGAGTTTTTAAGAGCTATATTGCATAATAAGTAATTTATGCTTAGTACTAAAGTACTAACTGAGGTTAGTACTTTAGTACTAAGCATAGTATAGTATCATTAGTAACTGAGAGGTTAGTACTTTAGTAAGTAGAAATTTTCAAGCCATGGCATCCAATGATGATGTAATAAAAGCCTTTATGTATTTATTAACATTGCCAAACGGCAACTTTTTTGTGCACAGGCTAATAAATTAATTAAAGTCAAATTGAGCATGGAAGATAAAATAAAAAATGTAATGTTTTCCAAAGTGTCAGCATTTGCCATGGGCTGCTACTAAATTCTTGATCTTCTCCTCATATGTAACTTTTAGATGCAGGATGAGTGTTTATGGATTTTGTCAGGATATTATATTTGAAAGCAATACATCGTCTTTCAAGTTGTAAAACAACAAAACTAAATATATTTCAATAACGTTATATAACTTTTTATCAATTTAATGTAAAAAAAGTATTTTATATGACATTCATGTTGTATGATTGTATTGATCAGTGAAATGCCTATTTTCTGTTTATTTTTTTGTAGGGAGAAAGCTTTGAATGTAACTGGTAATAAAGGTGTAGAACCTGCCATGGAATGGTATTTATTTTATTGCTATCATCGTAGTTAGAGTAATTTCTTTTGTTTTTACTATGATGGAATTATGTCATTATGTTTTTTGACAAATGAAGAAAAATAACTGTTCTCGCAACAGATGACCTACTGGGCTTCGTCTATAACAACAGGGGACTTACCTTATTTTTGTCTTTGATTGCAAGTTTGAATCACTTGATTTGGTCTTGCTTATATCAAGGTGACTCATCACATTCTTTCAAAAGAAATCAGTTAAAATGAGATTTGTCAGTTAGCTAATTACAAGTCAAGATACGAGAAGCCAAATTCTCTGGTGTAACCGTAGAATCACGCACTGGTTGGCACATTTTTCAAAATCGCCAATTTGGTGCGCTTTCGTATCTTGTCTCCTAGAGTTGAAACCCCTCCTGAAGACATTATGCAAGACACGACATTTACTCCGCCGAAGAACAAAAAGTAACGAATTTTCGAAGGATTGTTTGAAATAGCTGCTATCTAATGCCATCTACACCAATCAGAAATTCTCAATTTAAAATACATACTGAGCTATGTGCGAAAATGCTCTGAAATTCGCGCTAAATAAATCAGAAATTCTCAATTTAAAATACATACTGAGCGTGCCCGAAAATGCTCCGAAATTCGCGCTCCTCAAGAAGCCTAAAATTGGCACGGATACCACAATTGGAGCACTTATTAATCTCATAAAAGCAGCAAATAAGTGGCCGATTCTGCATCTGACCCGAATAATTTCTTTTGTTTTTACTATAATAGAATTATGCCATTATGTTTTTTGACAGATGAAGAAAAATAGCTGTTTTTGCAACGGATGACCTACTGGGTTGCATCTATAACAACAGGGGACTTACCTTATTTTTGTCTTTGATTGTAAGTTTGAATCACTTGATTTAGTCTTGTTATATAAGGGTGACTCATATCATTCTTGCAAAAGAAATCAGTAAAAATGCCAAATTCTCTGGTGTAACTGCAACTGAAAAATCTGCAATACACTATCTTCATGTTTAACGTTTAAATAATCTAATAGTAGTATGTGGTAAAATGGTAGAAGCTATTTAGATGAAAATGCATAGCCAGTAGACGGCATAAAGAATATAAGACTTTGAAATGCAAAAGCATATCAAAAGTTGTCAAGGAAAAGTGCTGAGCTCCCCATTTGAAGAGAATTTGGTGTGCCACAATTGAAGAGAATCTGGAGTTCCACATTTGAATATAATATGTAAAATATATAATTAACATATGTCATTCAGAAGAAGCTGGGATGATCGCTACTAAAGCTTTAAAAATTATCAAACTAATAGAGAGGAAGAATAACGTTTATTTTTCTGAAAAACATCAAGAAGAAATTTCAGACTATTTCACCCAAAGAGCTCGTCCAGGACAAAATGTGGCCCCCTGAACAGCCACTTGCACAGGCAAGCAAGCTGCATGGCAAACACACCAGATTTATTTATTCACCTCTAGATAATTTCAGACTAAACTTAAAACTGATTTTAAATTCCCGTAAAAGCCTCGAAGAAAACTCTAATTTTTAAGTCACCAAAATTTTACAGGCTGAAAATTAAACATAAAATTAAGTTTGACCAACTGGAAGAATTTTCTCTTTTTTTGTTTTTATTACTTTCAGTCTTCCCTATGAATAAAAACAGAAATGCGTTTACAAAGACAATTTAAACACCTGGAACAAGTGAGTCACCCCAAGCGTGTGAGAAACAGAAATTTGATCCCTTCTAACTAGGAAGAACAACACAGAGGTAAAGTTACAACTGCCCTTACAAAAGGCCACCCAAAAGAATTACAGATGGCCTCCTCCATTTGAAAAACCCATTTATCCAAGATTTGCAACCTTCACACAGCAAAGCATCATTATTTTTTATTTTCACACTCAGTAAACAAAATCTCCTGCAACAACAGATATTTTTAAGAGCTCTTTCTCATCAAAAATGCTATTCACAAGCTGCCAAAAGAATCCATTTGGGGAGCACTGACCAAGTAATTCAATCTCTGCTTTCATCCAGATGTTCCAAAAGGCACCCAGTTTCCTGAGAAAAATCTAAGCATCGAAAATTAAATACAAAAACCTTTTAACTGCCCAAAATAAATATCTACTACATTAGTTTCAAACAATTTCAGTAAAATAAAAACCTTAATAGTAATTAATTAAATTACATTAGCACAATTAAAAGTTTGCAACACAACAATTATGAAGATAAGTAGGAAATTAAGTAACTAAAATTTAATTTTCTAAAATGCAGCAAATAAATAATATTTTAAAATATTGAAAAGTCTTATGTGTAACATAAAGGCATTTCAAAAACCATACACAAATTTTATTTAGTAGCTGCAAAATACTTATCTGATGAAGGTCTGCCTACTTGATTTTGCATTTTAATTAATCGATTCCTGTTTAAATTGCTTGTATTTCAGAAATATAAACAATCTATTTTATCATTTACTTGATGACTAATTTAGATTATTATTCATTAGTTTTAGAGAACTGCTAAGATAGGCCTGGTGGCGTAAATTTATGTAGTGGCTAGCACATCGCGCAGGACCACAGGTCTGGGGTTCGATCCTCGGGCTGGGCAAGGTCAACTCAGCCTTTCATCCCTTAATTTCCATCCCTTGGATCAATAAAATGAGTACCAAGTTCGCTTGGGGGCTAAACACTGGGGTTCCTGCGACAAGCTGACCACTTGTTCAAGCCATATGCTTATGCACCCTGCGGCCCCCGGTCAAGAAAGCAGATTTCGGGGCACTGCTGGCCTTGGCCCACTAGGACTGTTGCGCCACTGAGTTTAGAACTGCTAAGATTCTTTCACCTTTTTACATAATGTTTCTTTCTCTTCTTTAGAAAACGCACTGGCTAGCATTTCAAAAATATCTTTCTACCAGTCATTTTCAACTTAAAGCTCTTCTTCATTGTGTTACATATTGAAAATTTCATCTTTAACTTAGGTATTCATCCAAATTCTAATACTAGAGAATACTAGGGATAGTTTAACTCTAGCATTCCAAGAGTATGGTTTAAAACAGAGTTTCTTAAACTGTACGTGCGACACACATAGGGTTTGCATTGTATGTGCATTGAAGCAGTGGGTCGCTAAAAATTTTAACAGTTTTGATATTTCTTTACATTATTAGAATAATTTTACAATTAGCAAATATTTTTGCACAATGTATCTTAAAATAGGTAAAGATAATACAGACAAAAAAATAAATAAATAAAAAACGAAAACAGTTACTTATTTAAAATGTTCACATTGTTCTTTTTCTTAAAATTAGAAAATAAAGTTAATGACATAAAACTTCAATAGTATATTACAGTAAACAAGTGAAAAAATTGACAGTTTCACTGATACGTGTGTTGGATTTGTGCAATGCTTATGGGATCTCACAAAATTTTCCTAAATATTATGGGATTGTGGGGTCATGAGAAAAATCTCAGTAATAAAAAGGGGTCATGACTGATAAAAGTTAAAGAAGCCCTTGTCTAAACCATACTCTTAGAATTTCGTAATGCAAGTACACCAAGGCATCACAGAAGAATTATTAACACTTAGTAAACCTATTATCAGTTCTCGGAATAAAAGTTCAAATTCAACAATATCTAAATTAATAATCTGAGTTTTTAAAAATTTAATCAAATAAAACCAAAAAATTTTATTTATTGAAAATAAACCTCCAATAATCAGAGTTTATTTCTAATGTGTTCACAGGTTCATATATCTGACAAACCCCATGGATTTCCTAGGACTCAGTACATCAAATAGAAAGTTTATTACATAACATTTTTATTAAAGATTTTATTAAACATAAATTTTAAGATGGCTGTCTAGTCTGTTCTTTACAAATCCATAGTTAAATGAAATGCATATCTATTTCAACAGATGTGAATTATTAATTTAAATTACTTCCAATAATAATATACTTAAATAATAACTTTTAATCTATTTTTGTACATTGATTGGACAAGCATTGACGGTGAGAGGTACTTTTGCTACTCAAATGACACAAAATCTTCAATTAATTATTACTACTTATAATATTAGTTTGGTGCCAATTTATCTTTAATATGAATATTCTTCTAGACATTAAAAATATCTTATTACTCAAATAGTCAATAGTTAATTAAGATATTAAACATTGAATACAGTTTTCATTAATTATTCATTTAATATACTTTTGAGAAGCTGGTGGACCTTCTTGCACTTTAAAATTCATTTTAGGATGCACTCCCTTAAGATGTGTTCTCTGGCATACTATATAGTTCCGCAGCTTCAAGTTGAGCCATCTGTCTTTCCCCCAGTATCTTGTGAGGCTGCAACAGCCATCAAGATGGTAACAATCATATTTATTTATTCTTATGTGATCCTTGGCATAGCAAAACTCAGTTCCTCACACCAAAAATATAGTTCTTTCATCAGCAAGTTCTGAATACTGCAGCATTTCTCAGCAGTATAATGTTTTAGTAATCGTCGGCCCAGCACAGAAAATGGGTCACCATTCTTCCAACTAAAATTACAGTTCCTTCTGGAAAATATTGTTGAATTTTGTATATATTTATATAATTTTGATGAACTTGTATGTGAAATTTTAGTATCTGTTGTATAATGTAACATGAAAAGGCTGAACAGAGACAAAGCTTTGCTGTAAAAATAAGGCTACAGTGACAAGTCTATTTAACATTGAGGTAAATAATTCTCTCATTAAATTGGCGAGATGTCGCCAAGCTGGCAGTGGCTTTGGTAACTAATTTTTATAGCCATATTTGGCGAGGAAGCACCCAAAGTCACCAAATGTGGTGAGCATTTGACAACATTTTGGTCCAATTCCTATATAACTATGATTGGTACTGTAAATGATTCTTATGTGTACTGTAATCCTATTTGGCTGTTATATGTAACTATGTTATGCCTTCTAATAATTTCGAGAAATGGAAGGTACTATAGATTTCTTGGAAGCTAGGGAAAACTGTGTAAGCCCGAATATAGCATCAGTTCTCAGGTGTTAGTTCAGAGTTGATTTCGGAGTATTGAGATATCCGTGAGATCTTCACCTTTCAAATGCACTTTGCATTGTGTTGTGCTTAAAATTCTTAGTAGTTTCAAACTACTAAGTGTAATTACTGATTGTTCTGTGTGATACTGAGAAGAGCTGTACGAGTGCTTTTGTAGAAAACTATAGATTTGTAAAGTGTTTGTTTTGAGAAAATAATTTTATCAAGCTATCATGGATTCTGTGTGCGTTCTATCCATTACAAATCCGTGCGTACGCAGCAATACTTTTTGATACCATAGCATCTTGGAATTTGAATCCGATTGGGATCTCTTTTCTCATTTGCTGGAGATTATGAAAGTGAACTTACCATCCAAGACACTTATCACCATATGTGTAAAAATTAGGGGCCAATTAACTGAGGTGATAAGCCTCTCTGTTCTTTTTTTTTTCTTACCTTCCAAAATGTCAAAATCAGTTAAGTTTTTAAGAGATCTTAAGACAGTGTTTTCATCTTATGCAACTTCTGAGGAATATTGGTTCATGTACAGTGATGACATTTAGCTTAGCACTTAGCTCGCTGTTTAACCAACAGGAAGAGAGAAATAAACTACAAATATTTTTCTGAGAAGTGTAACCCGTCTTAAAAGTGTCAACTGTGTCTTTGTATGCATTTTGTGAAAATTTTTTAGAGCTGTTATATAGACAATTATAGGTAAACCAGAAAATTTATATTTTAGATAAAGCTAAAAAATTTTCAAATCTTCCCTTGATAAGAAACAAATATTCAGTGCATAAAAGAGCTGGTAATCTGAAGTATATTGCAGTCATTACTGACTTTTGACTATGGAAAAAATCACAAAAATGCTGTCCGTGGAACGAATTTACCAGTGTTCAATGACTTTATCGCTCGACAGCTGGTGGACCTTCTTGCACTTTAAAATTCATTTCAGGATGCTTAAAATGTGTTCTCTGACATACTAAATAGTTTCGGAGCTTCAAGTTGAGTCATCTGCCTTTCCCTCAATATCTTGTGAGGCTGCAACAGGCATCAAGATAGTAGCTATCATATTTATTTATTCTTATGTGATCTCTGCATAGAAAAACTTTGGATGGTATAAGTAGCAAAAAAGAGACCAAATTGAAAATTTCACATGCTTGCAGCTGTGCAGTATTTTCAGCTAGATTTTTTTCTATTTTTCTTCAATTAATAGAAAACAAAATTTTAAAGGATTTAATTCATGTGCAGAGACATGTGATTAAATAATAAATTCATAATGAATTTATGTTTATTTTCTCTTTTTTCAAAAAAGTCTGAATGAATTTCACAAATTAAATGAGTTTTGTCATGGTGATCAGCAACAGTATATATGTTGCTATACAGATCAGCACATACTTCGAACAGTTTGGAATTTAGCCTTACTATTTATTATTAATATACAGTAGTTACCCAGTTGGTCAAAACCCAGCTGTGTAACCTCATTTTAAATAAAGGTAAAAATTTGTTGTACTTCCATTCTCATTTATACTTTATTTATTTTTATTTAATTGCATTTATTTAAATTTTATTTATTCAACTTCCCTTTTCAAACAATGTGCAATTAATGTAACTTTTCTTAAAATACTTCTCTAATCATTTCTCATCAACATCATTCTGTGCTTCTTTTCAAATAGTTGACTGTATCCAGTTAAAAAAAAAATTATTTATTCTTCTATATATTCTACTGAATCAGTAAGTATTGTCACAGTAATTTTGTATGATGCTGGTACTAAAATTTCAGCGATGATTCTGAGATACGAGCTTTGTTTTCACTAGTTTAATTAGAATGAAAAACTATAAATGTGTTAATGATATCTTCATGTGATGCTACATGGATATTAATTTGTTAATTGTATTTCAGTTATTTCTGTAATTTCAAGACATTTTTCATGAATGGGTGTGCTAATAATATTTACTTCATCCTATGTTATATTTGGATTATATGATCCTTTATATATTTAATTAAAAATATTCTGCTTTCATATGATCAGTCTGTATATGTTATTCTTTCAGTTAATTTCTGAATGTTGATCTTATAATTAGCATTTGGTTTCTTGTTCTCATCTCAGACATCCAAGATATGTTCTTTATTTTTTTATAATACAGTCAAAAGTCTTTTAATCCAGATGTCCATAATCCAGAATAATCTATAATCCAGACCTAAAAGCTAATGCGTTTATGCATGTGCATTTAATGTATAATGGACGGTATAAGCTAAGCTAAAATTATCTTATTATCTATTTCAGTTAATGTTGCAGATTGCATTGTTCCTTAATCTTCAAATTGGATCCGGCGTATTTTTTGCAGACTATTAGAGGAATTTTATAAAAGTAAGCTTGAACTTTCGATTATGTCAAATAGAATTTCCTATGCTGGAGCTGCCAAAAGATCTATGAAGCGAAAGCATGCTTTGATGTCAATCAAACAAAAAGTGGAATTGCTGCAAAAAAATGGATAAAGGCATGAAGAAAGTGACAGAGAGGTTAGTCAAAATGAAAAAATTTCGATTGACAAGTTTGTCGGTTTTCTCGGCACAGCAATTACAGGACTTGAACAGTGGAACTGAACAAGAAATCATGTCTGCAACTTAAATAGCATAAATAATGTTAAAGAGAAAGTAGTAGCACATAAAATGAAGCAACTTAAATAGCTTACATTGAAAGAAATGTTTAATGAAGTAAACAAATAAATATTAAGCTTTTTTTTTTTTGTAAATTTTGATACCCTTTAGATCATAATTGCTCTTTATTTCATAAATTGCGGTTTCATATTTTTAATTTTATAATTTCTGCATGCCATCTTACCAGATATAAACTGATGATCTATAATCCGGAATTGTCGAAGTCCCGACGAGTCCGGATTAAAGACTTTTGACTGTATTATTTTGATGCAAATAACTTTACCTTTCTGTTAATAAGACACTAGTGACCGAATCACCAATTGTAATAGCATGTTTTCATCACATCATGAATAGCTATTCAATGTTTAATGTACACAGTGCTGAATTTATACAAATCTCTTGATTTTTTTCTAAGCAAACATTAGAAAATCGGACAAATTTGGCACCGAGTGTATTAAGTATTATATATACAGTATCAAGTCCGAAATCTGGATGTCCAGTATTCGGAATGATCCAATATATCTAGATTTCTGCACCATCAGTCCAGTTAGTTAACAAATATAAAAATAAAATAACAAGAAAATTCACCTCTTCACTTACAAAATCGAGGAATGGAGAATATAATGCTCAACAAAAGACATCAGGTGTACTGTAAATGCAGTTCTGCTACCAGGATGAGATTCCTAGAATATTGCTTTAAAGGAGTCATGCCATGCCCATTGATTTATTTATTACTGATGACCAGAATCCCATTTTTGGCCCTAATGTGGTTGTGAGGAGTTTAGCATTTTTATAGATGACATAAACAATAAAGAAAGCCCCAATGTTGCCATCTCTGTGTGCCATTTTACTAGATTTAAATTGATCTAAAATCCAGAAATTTCTGGAATCACCAAAGTTCCGGTCGTACTTTATGCTGTATTATATGATACGCTATTGCTATTACAAGCTCATTTTTTCCCATGAAATTTTGTGTATTGTTAGGGTTGTTGCCATCTAGTTGGACTTCAGTGTTTATGTTTTTCACTAAGTGTTGTCCTGTTAATAGAAAACTATCCCCCCAAAAATTAAATATTTTCTAATACTAGAAGATGAGTAAGGTAAGGTGATGTGTTATAGTATTAACATATTCGCTGCTAAGTTAGATATCCCAAACTCCACTAGAAGCTGACTAACATGGAAACGGACATCTCACCTCACACTGGTGCATGAGTGGCTTTTAAATGATACCATCGCATCGTGTACCAACGCATAATTAGCAGCATATATATTAAAGAAGTGTGGTGTGCATTGAAGTTGTGTGATGTTATAAAAATATTCTTAATAACATGAAGAAAAATTTATTTTCAGGTTACTAGCTCATGGTGATACAAGTGAACCTGAAGCAGATGCTGCCATTAATGTCCCAAGTGAGATTTATGACTTATTATTATTTGATTAAATGTACAACATTTGTTGTATTTTAAGATGTACTAGTTTATTATTTTTGTTAAGACTTATTTCTTTTTTATCATTTTTATGTTCATATATTGTGTACTTTTTGTTCTGAGCTACTTTAACATCATCATTTTATCAACATTGTATTTATTTTGTATATTATTATCAGACTTAAGGACAAGATATGTACATAAAGGTTTGTTGTAATTATGAAAATCATTAAACATGCAGATTGTATGTAAAGATTTTGTTTAATGGTGGACACTCATGTCATGAAAACTAAATAAAATAGATCAACTAATTAGAAACATAATTATTTCGGTACTTACATGTTATCACAACTGCTTTGGCAGGAGTTGCGAACTTTACAGAATGAGCCAGACTTTAGCAACTATGTTCATATCCATTTTTCAGACCACGATTCTTATAAAAATCCTTCATTCAAAAACAATGTCACCATTTTCGTATGAACTTTTTTATTGTATTCAATGTTACAGCAGTAAAATACGTGCTTGTTAAATTTGCTAGCAGTGGAAGAAACTCAGTAAAATTTCTTGGTAAAATTTCCACAGAAAAAGAAAATTTTGCCACGAAATCACTAAAGGGAATAATGAGGAGATGCATTTGATTGATAGCCATGTTGCTGAGGTATGCACAGTGCCAAGGAAGTGCTGTTATCTGATTATTTTTTTAAGTGAAAACAGATCACTGTGTACTTGGGAATTACAGAAAATCACAGATGCATTGGAGATGAATGTGTTTTATTTGTTTTTTAATATGTCACATAATCTTTATTTAACATTTAAAATTTGTATTTTAAATTGTTAAAGTGTGTTGACTTTTCATGTTTTGATAATGTTTGCCAGCTTAAATAAATATCAGTAGGTTGAGAATACTTTTTTAAAAAGTTGCAAAAATCATCAACTTGCGCCCAATAAATAACTTATGCTCATTAGTCTGTAAAGAATCATCAAATAATGCCAAGGTGGTTGTGCTAGTATGTACATTAAGGTGGTAGTACTATTTTTTAGATAATTTATCTGATTTTTAGCTACTATAATAAACTCGGGAACAATGGACTGTATCACACTTTTATTCTCATTAATTTACATTTTTCATGGCCACTCGAAGCCACGAATTCTCTCACACACTCTTAGCTCACAATCTCATGTCACAAACTCTAAGAGCTCAAAAGCGCATGCGCAGACGCTAGTAACTAAGATGCATGCGCAGGCACAACATACCGCCCGCCTTGACATGATGTAATCATTCAAAATTGTAAATATTACAATAAAATTTTACACAGTGTCACAATATAAAAGCAGGTAAATAATTGTAAACATCAAATAATAACATCAAACTACTATAATAAGAAAATACAATAATTAGTTACAAACATACTTTTTGTTTAATTTGGCATAGGTAAAAACACAAACTTTATTAATTGATCTCTTAAAGATAAGGCTTTTCATTTTCACTGCAACTACTCTAACCTTATTGTATTTACCTAAGTATATCTGTGCGATTCTGCCAAGAGGCCTGTTTCATATAGGAAAGAACATTATCATTCTTTAAAATTACCATAGTTCCAACCTTGACATTGCCTTTTTCAAAGAACCATTTAGTTCTTCCTTGCATTGCACTCAAATAGTTGTTTCTCCAATACTTCCATATTGTTTGCACTATTTTAGTCAATTTTTGCCAGCTCTTTAATCTATTATCGTTAACGTTTAAAATATTAGGTTCTGCCATAGACGTGATAGGTCTGCCTATCAGGAAATGGCCTGATGATATCAAAATCCTCTGATTCAGATGATAAGGGATGCAAGGGCCTAGAATTCAAAATGCCTTCAATTTGAACAATTACTGTAAGAAACTCCTCATAGGTTAGTTTCAAATTGCCTACTATGTGTTTCAAATGAAACTTAACAGGTTTGACACCTGCCTCCCAAAGATCTCCATGATTGAGAGCCCTAGGGGAAATGAAAAACTAATCAATACTCTCACTCGATAAATAATTACCTAATTTGTCATCTGGTTTGCTGACTAGCCTATTCAATTTCTTTAATTCTGCATTACTACCAACAAAATTGGTTGCATTATCCGAAAATATGTGTGCACACTTGCCTCTCCTGCTGAAAAAATGCTTTAAGGTTATAATAAATGCTTGACAAGACAGGTCTGTTACGAATTCAAGATGGCAAGCTTTGGTAACAAAACAAACGAAAATGCACACATACACCTTGTTAAGGCGATCTTTTCTCTGATGTGCGTATTTTATAAAATAAGGATAAAAAAAATCAAATCCAACACAATTGAATGGAAAATTTGGGCTGACTCTTTCTTGAGGGAATTGACCCATAAGTTGTTGACAGGGCACTGATTTTGCTTTGAAACATGCGACATACTCATGTACTATTTTTCTACAAGTGTTGCGTCCGTTTAAGGGCCAAAACCCTAGTCTAACAATAGACAGTAAGCCTTGTGGGCCAGTATGCATGTATTTCTTATGAAACATCACAGTAATTAGATTAGTCAACTTATGATTCTTTGGTAAGATTGTTGGAAATTTTCTATCGAAATTCAACTTACAATTAGCTAATCTGCCTCGAACTCATAAAATTCCATATTGATCTAAAAATGGAAAAATACTTCTTACCTTGCTATCTGGAGGTATCTTACCCTCCCTTTCAAGGCTTGATATTTCTTTTTTAAATTCACTGTCTTGAATTAGCTTAATCAGTTTAAGTTCAGCTAATTTTAATTCATAGCTCTGAAGAGGACCTGAAACCTTGTCCTTCCCTTTGCAGTTGTTCACAAACCTAAAAATAAAACTTAAAACACAAATAATTTTAGAGTTATTACTTAAATTTAAGAAATCCTCAATGAAAGGGTTAGCTTTAACATTAAGAAAAATATTAGAGTTACTAAGGATTTTAAGTTTGTGTGGAAAGTTCTTCACAATGACTTCCACCGGAATCTCTTTATTCGGATTATTGTCGTTTCTCAGGAACAGAGAGCCTTTCTACCACATATAATTTTGTAGAAGTTTACTGGGGTCCAAACCTCGGGATATAAGATCACTTGGATTCTCCTTTGATGACACGATGTCACTGATGACCATTAGTGTCAACTCTTGAATTGTCACTCGATTTGCAACAAACGTCTTCAACTGATAAGGCTCTTTTGTATCCACAAAAGCACGATCATGGAGTCACTCCACAGATACACTTTGTTCACAGGAATCTCTGATGCAGATATTACTCTAACCACTAACCTTGCAAGTAGGACTGCAGCACAAAGCTCTAGTCTCGAAATAGTAACTCATTTAATAGGCGAGACTCTGGATTTACTCGTCACTAACCTTGTCTTCACTTCTCCATCTCTTGAACGGGACTTGCAATATATGGCTGCTCCGTATGCTACATCAGAGGCATCTGCAAATCCATGAACTTTCACGTGGTCTACTTCTGCAATAGGAATAAACCTTTCAACTTCTGTTTTACTTAAAACTACAAATTCATTAGAGAACTTCTTCCATTCATCAGCTTCCTTTTTTGGTAGTCATCCCAATTCAGCTTTAACACCACAACCGTTGGAGGAATATTTTGGCTTTACTTATGATTGGCCCTAGTAAACCAATCAGTTCAAACAATCTTGAAATTGTGGACAATATCTGTCGGTTGGTAACAACTGTTTCATTATCAAGTTTCAGTCTAAAACAGAAATAGTCTCTTCTAGACCTCCAGGACACTCCAAGTGTTGTAGATTCTTCTTCATTAGGAAAGAGATAGGAGTAATCTTCTTTCGCAAGTTCAGCATGATTACTACACCACTTGTGCAATGTCATTTTTCCACTCTTCAGTATTGCAGTTAACTGGGAATTAAGCTCCTTAGCTGTACTCGAAGATTCCGCTCCACTAAGCACATCATCCATGTAAAAATTTTTAAGTAAGACTGGCGCAGCTAATGGAAATTGTGAACCTTCATCAATCGACAATTGTTTAAGAGTTCTCATAGCTAAGTATGGCTCATTAACTGTACCATAGGTCACAGTATTTAGCTCGTAGATTTTCACAGGTGCATCACTTTCTTTCTTCCATAGGATTCACTGCAAGCATCTCTGTTCAGGGTTAGTTTCAATCATTCTATACATTCTTCTATTATCTGCCGTAAATGCGAATGGGTACTTTCTAAATCTAAGCATGATTGAAAAGAGATCATCTTGAATAACCCCTCCATTACTTCATTACGTTGTAAAATTCCATTTGGTGTTAAACATGATGCATTAAACACTGTTCTCAATTTTTTTTCTTTTTCTTTTCTTTTTTCTTTTTTTTTTTTTTTTTGTTCCCAGGTCGTTATATCCCATGATGTGGCATATAGTACACTAGCCTAGGCTTTTTTTTCTCTTTAACCTCAGTCATATGCCCTAGCTCTTCATATTCCTTTAAAAAATCCTGATACAGACTTAAATATTCAGAGTCTTTAACTAATCTTTTCCATAGGGAATTTAATCTCTCAAGGGAAAAATCTTTCGAATTTCCTAAGCAAATAGGATCTTCCTTTAGTGGCATTGTTACAATGTATCTCCCTTCTTCATTCTGCTTATGAGTTTGCACATAATGTTCTTCACATATTGCTGTCTCTTTATTTTTTGGAATCGCTGTTTCGACATTCCCTATTTCCCAAAATTTTCTCATTGTTTGTTCTAAGTTATCAGATGTTTTCATTAACCCACAATAAACGTGGCTCTGTTCTTCTGAAGTAATGCTTTCCGACACAATAAACCCGAACATGCTGTTTTGTAAAACAAGACTCGAGTTTTCATAGCAAATTTGTTCAGACTTTAATATTTAAAAAAAAAAAAAAAAAAAACTCAGCTCCTAAAAGCATCTCTATACATTCTGGAAGATTAAAATTCTCATCGGCTAATTTTATGTTATAAAAATCCTGCATTTTAATATCAATT